TGTGCAYAGTGATATCTGGGAGACCTGGCCAGTTCTCAGTATGCAGAATTRCACCCAAGGTTCTCCTTGCCATCCCAGAATAGGTGCCACTTCTTGTCCCTACCAAGGGAAATAAGGCTCTAAAGGCAGACAGACTAGCATTTAGATATTGACACTCTTGCAACCTGGCCAAGGGCTCTCCAAGCACATGGTCCAGGCAGGAGTCCCTCCATCCTCTGAAGAAGAAGGATTGGCGAGAAGTTTAGGGAGGGGTTGARGGTCATGTTGTCCTGGGTCCAAACTCTGGCCCTATTGCTTCCTGGTTGTATAGATATATATTCAAACTTGAGTTTTAATCTGTATATAAAATCAACACAATGACACATATCTTGCAGGACTTGTTATAAGCATCAGGTGAATGTGACATGTAGTTACATGACCGACAGTAATTCCTTTCAGCTTCTGCCCCTTTGTGAATTGGTCCAGGGTTGACCTCATCCCCTTTGTGTCTGTGACACCAAGCGCAGGAGGCAGCACACAGTAGAAGCTCAGAAAATCAGGGAGAGGCTTGGATCTCAACTTCTCCCTACTCAGAAGTCTAGGACAAGGATGGGTAAACCTCGACCTACAAGCCCAATCTGGCCCACTGTCTTTTTTCTGTTGTTAATTTTAAGTAGGTTTTATTGGAACATTACCACACTCATTCATGGATCTATTTTCCATGATTGCTTTCATGAGACAAAATCAAAGCTGAGTAGATGCAATGCCAAAAAAATGTTACTGTCTGGCTTCTTACAGAAGATGTTTGGGACTCCTGGTCTTGTGTATGGATCATTTCAGGAAAAGTACTTGGTGGCCTCTTTATTTTAGGGAAATAAAAAATTCCTCCATTCCTCCTCTCCACTTATTGTRTCTTCTCTCCTGGGTTTATTTATTTTTATTCTTAGTGCTTCCAATACGTCACTTGCTATTCATTGTTTATTTTCTATGACTCACACTACAAAGCTCCGTGTGGGAGGAGGTTTTAATTTGTGCTGACTCCTAAATCCCTAGAACCTTGAACAGTACCAGGTGCATGGCGGGCACTCTGTGAATAGTTGTTGCATGTATAAACTCTGAGTTCACTGAAGAGATTGGTCAGCCAAGCAATGATGGAAACTTCCTCTTTCATGGAAGATTTTAGAGTTTGCGAGGGACCAGGTAATCCCCAACCCCTTTGAGGAGAGAACTATTTTTCTGTGCTATAGAGAAACAGTGGGCCCCGCTGTCTTTTTCTGTTGTTAAGTCAGTGCTTCTCAAACTTTAACTCTGGTTAAGTCAGTGCTTCTCAAACTGTAATGTGAAAAGGAATCACTTGGGGATCTTGTCATTTTGCAGGTTTTAATTCGAGAGGGCTGAGCTGAGGTCTTAAATGCTGCATTGACCACATTGCTGCTGGTCTCTGGACTACATGCTGAGTAACAAGGGTTCAAGGCTCCCCTCAAGGGTCTATACCAGCACCCCAAGATCCCTATTGAAATCTAGGGATCCTGGAGGCCACGTTATGGTTTAGATGTGAAGTGTCTCCAAAAAAGCTCACATGTAAGTCAATGCAAAAAATGTTTAGAGGTGAAATGATCAGGTTATGAGAGCCTTAAACTAATCAGTGCAATCATCCCCTGATAGGGATTAACTGAGCGGTGACTCTGGGCAGGTAGGGTGTGGCTGGAGGAGGTGGGTCATTTGGGGGGGTGCCTTTGGGGTTGCCCCCAGACCCTCCTTCCTACCTTCCCCCCCTGTCCATCATCTCCAGCCTCTTCTTTCCCCCACAGGCTCTTCCATGCTTTCTATAACTGGGTCCAGCACTTTCTGATCTTTCAGGTAGCCAACCTCATCTTTCTCCTCTGTTTTAGAGCCCAGTAGTTTTTTTTTTTTTTAAAGTGACCTTCTGAGCACTCCCAGGCAGGCTGGCTTTTTCCCCCACCCTCACCCCAGAAGCTGCAGAAGTGACTTCACCTACAGAGTGTCTGGGCTGTGCCCGGCTCTCAGCCTCCATCTCCTGGAGCATCTGTAAGGGTCAACCGACCCGTCCTTCTGCTGGGCCTTTCTCTTCTGGGTTCCTATGGTTTTCCTCTTATCATCTTTCTGCTTAGCCAGCTCCTCTCCCCTTTGGAATCTTTAATCACAGTCAGTTTCTGGCGCTCAGCCCTCGTCCTCTTTGCCCTTTAGTCTCTCTTCAGTCCTGATTCCATCAACCCTAYACTCTCAACTGTTCTCTCTCAGAGGAAGGTTCCATACATCCACCTCCTGCCCAAACTCTACCTCTGCATTCCTAAGTTCCCTGGAACAATTTTGCTCAGGAATTCCACCAGCATCCTCAGCCCAACAGACCGACAATTATATTTATTCTCTTTGCTACAAATCATTTCTTCCCCCAGAAGTCTCTGTTTCTAAGAGAATACATGGCCCGCCTCACCGCCCCTCCCCTTGCATTCATTGCTGAGTGGCTTTAGGAGAATGACTTATCTTCTCTGAACAATTTACATCTCATTAAATAAGGATAATGGGAGCCATCGGCCTGGGCTATCATGAGGACTCAGTGAGCTAATGTGTGCACAGAATATTTGGTGTGTGCTGGTAATCGCCCCCTCTTCCCTCCTGTCCAGATGATTAAATATGCCTTATCTGTTCAGTCCCTTTAATGCTGAGGTGGTTCATCTTCTTTGGCAAGTATTTTCTGGAGGTTGGGGACAGGGAATGGAGTGCAAAAGAAAATCTAACCATGTAACATCTCTCTATGGAAGGCAGAATTTTGCAGAGAATTACTTAATGGTGACATCCAAGGCATGTCACTCAGAGTGCTTTGGGGCTGGTGAATACAGAATTATGAATATTGTTTTGGAAACCCTGTGTCCCGTCCACATGCTCTGCTTTCCAGGGTCCCCTTCCAGGGCCTGTGATGTAGAACTCTATGTTTGCACCAACTAAAAGGCCCTTGTTTATCAATGCACCTGAACTACGCGCGTTTGCATCCCTGTCTCCTATGCTTCCACACTGTTCAACTTCAATCCCACCACTGTGCCCAGCACAGTGCAGAGCACACAGTAGGCCTCCAAAGACAGCACAGCAGTGTGCACACTGGCTACAGATGGAGGGAGGGAGATTCACAGAAGCTGCGATGGGTCACTGCATGCCCACACCTACAGTGGAACACTGACTCCCTACGAGCCCCTGGAAGACCAGGGGCTACCATTACTGCCATCACCCCTTATGGTTTCTGAAAGGTCAAAGAAAGAAAACCAACATTTCATAAAGCATCCGCTTTGGGCTAGGCACTTTCCAAATTCATCTCATTCCCTTTCCAAGGCAACTTCATGAGTTAGGCACTGTTCCCCTAATTTCACACTCAAGGGAAATGAGACTTGAAGCATTTAGAAAACTTGTTCAAGGATATATAACTATGGAGTAAGTGACATTGACATTGACATTGACAGGACTTGAATACACAACTGCAGGAGTCCTAAAGGTCGTTCTCTTTCCATCACAGCAAGAAATGTACCATATTCTTTTTCTTTTTCTTTTTCATAACTCTGTGCCTTTGCATATGCTGTTCCCACCAATCAGAATCTTTCTTTCTCTAGTGTTAGGTAAACTCCTCTGTAGGTACAGGGATGACTGTCTCCTGCATCATTGAAAAGCTAGTTACTCAAACTCAGTGCTCTTTTACCACACATGACGTGTACATGTTTCTCAGCTAACATTTCAGTTATTTGATTTTCATGCTAATCTTCGGGTAGGTTTGAACACTAGAAGAGTGAGAATCAAAGTCATTTCTCCATCTACACTGTCTGGAGCATAATGTRTATATTCAGTGAATGTTTATTGAATGAATGAATGAATGAACAGATGAAACAAAATCCTAGAGTTCTTCCAGTATTAATGGTGAGGATTCATTTTTTTTGCCTATATAACATGAGGGTGGTGGTACCATGAATTTATCTGCTTATCGCTTGGCTCTAACTGCCCAGGGTGGATGGGCCACCATTTTTCTGGCTCCATCGTCATCTTGAGAGTTTTAATAGATGATCACTGACTTTTTCACAAGGCTGGGTGTGCCAGGGTTGAGGGAGTGGTGGGCAGTACACTTTCCCARGAGCCAGGTTTTCTGAGTTTTAATCCCACTCTTCTCTAGATGCATGTGGGRTGAGAGCACACACATCTCTCTGGATCTCAATTTCCCCAAATGGAAAATGAATATTAGAATGTGGGATGACTTCAGTAGGTTATTTTTTTTTAACTTTTTATCATCAAGGATCTATTGTATAGTTTTTCTTCTTTATCCTCATGTTTTGGAGATATGTGCTTTGTTAATAAAAATAACCACTTTAAAAAAACACACCTTTACAAAGTAAGTGAAAAAAAAAAACCTGATAGGCCAGCAGCCATCTCTAAGTCCACAAAAAGAAAAAAGGCAATGATAATGTGACATAACCAATGCTAAATGCCAAACAGATAATTCCAGCCCAAAGCAAAGMCCTTGCAYGCTTCTGTCACCTGTGAGGTTGGGTCTAGAGAAAGTCATGGTTCCCTGCAGTCTTCCTGAAATAGTGGAAATAGTCAATCGCCTCCTTTCTAACTTTTAGAGTCCCCGGGGCTCCCCAATCCCCCAAGTAGACACAAATACACTCAGAGATCTGTGATTCTGTCTTATGCGKGCAAGTCCTGCAGAAGGATTGGATTTCTTTCTTGCTGGAATTCAGGGACTCCTAACTAGAAATTTGCACTCAGAAAGGAGAAGCAGCCCCTCTCGACTCCAGAAATAGGCAGGGAAATTAAGATGGTAGAAACATAACAGACTTGAACAATGACAGTGCATTTTCAAATGGAAAACAACTACATAAAACAGAAAMCCCCAGGGCTACACTTGACTTAGACAGCAGTGGGGATGAGAAACCAACAGACAATCGGTTGGTGCGGGAAATGCATGCTACAGGTTCCCTTACAGGGCATGATGCAAAGTTTAACACCGGCTCGATACTTACAAGTAATAGGAGTAGGAATAAGCATTTCTTCTATATATTGATGGGCAGTCAGATGAAGGAAATGTCCAAAAAGGGGGGAAAAAAAGAAAAGACAAACAAAGAAGAATTAGATTGGTATGAAATCTTGGTTCTTAGAAATGCACATTTTTATTTCAGCATCCCGAAGCTCAAGGAGATGCAGGTTTCTCTACCCATCCTCTTTGCTAAGAATCAGATACTTTCAAYGGCAGAAGAAATGAGAGAGGCATCTCTTATGAGAGGAAAACTCACTACCTCATGCAGAGAAAGCCGAGTTTCATGTTGGCTATTTTTGCTGTTGGACAGCTCTTTCTTATGGCCAACTAAAACTAGCTTCCTTGCAATAATGGATCATTTTTTATTTTTGGTCTTGAATCAGCTTTCTGTGGYATCTTGAGACCAGTCTACCATTCTTCCGCATGACAGTGTTCCTATGATCTAAGCCACACCACAATTCACTCTTTGGGTTTTCTTTATTTCAGATGAAAGGACATGATAATCTATTTAGGAAGGTCATTCCAAAGCCAGGAAATCCTATAGCCAGCATCCAATATGGCTCCCCATGAACCCCACTTTCCAGCGCAGACACCTCCCACACAGAAACAGGGTTGGCCTTGTGTGACCAATGATATCATGTAGGAATTATGTTCTCTATGTTCTGAGACTTTCTAAACCAGGTATAAAAGAAGCCTTGTAGTTCTGTCCAAGTCTTTGAAATTCGTTTGGAACCTCGACTCTCCATGTAAGAAGTTCAACTTCCCTGGGGCTGCCATGCTGGAGAGATCACATGGAGAGGCCCTGAGATGACATAAAGAGAAAGTAACCTTCAGCCAGCCTCTAGCCACTCCATCCCTGGCTGATCAAGTTGCCTATCTGAGAACCTCRGAGACATTGTGGAATGAAACAAAGGTCATTCCCTTTAAGCCCTCCCTAGGGAAAGACTCATGAATGATAAATAAGTGCCATTTTTCAAGTCATTAAATTGAGGGTCATCAAAATTCAACCTAATCATGAACAAGTACCATACTAAGAAGAAGGAGTTCCAATTTTCAATCTAACAGACCTTGATTTGAATAACCTCTGTGCCTTTGTGTTCTCATCTATTGGTTAGGTGTGTGGAACTAGATTCGKAGTTTTCAAACGGTGTTCCCAGGATCCCAGGGGTTCTGCAGAGCAGGTTCATTGTCAGGGAGGGGGAGGACATGGAGAAGGTGGTGCTGTTGCCATCCACAAGAGCCAGAGCATCTCCATTTTTATCTATTTCATAAATTGGAGTTTCATCTAAGAGTTCACATAAAGCTCAAAAACTCACTGCCTTCAATTTCTTTCTAATGTCCCTCACTAGCTCTTGGCTTCTGAGCAATCACCGACCTCATAGAAGTCCGCGATATTCCCTTGGTTGTAATTTGCCTGATGTTGTAAGAAAATAAATAGGAAATGTTTTTATTTCACATCAGATTTTGATACACTGACCATAAGTGATACATTTGAGGATTGAGAAAAATCGCTAGAAAATTCAGGTTCCAAAATATCCATCTGAGTAAGCAGGAATCGTTTCCTTTTCTCTTGAATGATTCAATTAATTTCAACCGTGATCCCAGGTACTTGTCATCAGAAGATACTGCCTTCATAATCGGGGTAGGAACACATATTCAGAGGCCCCCCAAATTACCGTTTCAAGTAATAAGTGACCAAARCCCTTAAGGCAGGACTACCTCTAGCTTTCTCTCATCCATCAACAAAGCCCAACCCAAGCCCCATAGCCCCAGAATTAAAGTGACTCTGAGAGATAAAAAGACAGAAGCATATTCCTCCTTAGGAGGATAAACTGGGGGATAAGAGGCACAGCTCAGCAAGATCTGGCAACCCCCCAAAACTATTCAATATCCTGGACCAAACAAACAGTGGTCCTGGATGATGAGAGAGTGAAAAACTCAGAGCTGTAAAGAATGGAAATGGAATAACTCCTGGCAAGTCCTCAACCCCCTTCACCAGCCATGCAGCTTGGCACGAAGAAGATCATTCCTTTGCTTCATCACAGCCTGGTCCAGTGCCTAGAAATGTGATTTCCCAAGAATGGAAAGCTCAGGATCCATTTGACGAAGATTTTACAAATATCTYTTGGCATGGTTTGAATGTTCCCCCTGAAACTGATGTTGAAACTTAATCCCCAAATTCATTGTCTATGACATTTGGAAGTAGGGCTTTGGGGAGGCAACTAGGATCAGATAAGGGCTGGGCCCTGGGATGGGACTGGTGGCTGTATAGGAAGAGGAAGAGAGACATGAGCTGACCCATGCTTGCTCTGCTTCACCATGTGATGCCTTCCACCATGTTATGATGCAGCAAGAAGGCTCTCCCCAGATGCCAAGCAGAGGACGGTCCTATGCTCTTGGACTTCCCAGCTTCCAGAACTCTAAGAAGCAAGTTTMTGTTCTYTATAAATTATCCAGTCTCTGGCATTTTGTGRTAGCAACAGAAAAYAGACAATATRTGTTTTCCATATTCCATATATTGGGCTGAGCACCAAGAGGCCAGTATTCTAATCCCATWTGTTTCTCTTGCTTAGTGTGCCTTCTTGGGCAAATTCATTCCTGTCTTTACACTTCTTTTTCCTGACCCATGCACCAAGTAGCTGGCAGAGATGACTGACAGGTTGAAAATGTTGAGCAGTTGAAATATGGGATGCCTCAGCATCTCAGCACCATCATTTACAAGCCACATTTAGTAACTTGAGCAAGTCACTAAACAGCACAGTCCAAGTTTCTCCATCTCAAGCTTAGGGACAATAGTTAACCAACAGCTATTGGGGCCATCAACATTAAGTAATTATATTCAAATTAGATATGATATATAATGTATAGTGTTTCATATAAAATACATTAATTTGAATCAATATCAGGTTATATCACCCTACACATGGAAAATACTAAGGATGGATTAAAGGCAGTTTATGTTCCCACCTGATCCTCAGATGTAGGATTTGCTGCACTTACTCTGGTCACCAGGACAAAGKGTTCGCCTCTTCAGTAGAAATAAAAATGTGAATACAGTAAGAACAAAGACTTAGGCCACCTTTCTTACATGCCAGGCCTTGTTCTGAGCTCTCATCACACACCAACTCACGCATTCTTTACAACCGCTCTAATGGATAGGTGTCTCATCATTTTCACTTTACAGATGAGGAAATTGAGGCAAGAAGGTGAAATCACTGGCTGAAGGGCCACAGCCAGTGACTACCATTGACGGCATCCTGGCTCTGATGCCCACGCTCTCACCCACTGTGCTCCTTTCCAGGAAGCAGGGAAACAGGAGCAACARCGATGTAGGCATGGAGATGCACAGACCTTATCTCCTAACTCTCCCCACAACCCTGCAGAGCGGATGTTATTCTCACCTTTAGTTGAGGAATCTGAGGCTCTAAGAGGTTTCACTAAGACAAAGGTTTTATGGATCTTTGGACCAGCAGCAAAGCTTCCATCCCCAGGTGGATTTTTTTCTCACTGCCCAAGCCCCCTCCTAAAGGCACGCAGGCTGCACTTGGAACTCTGGCCCTCTGGGTTTACTGCTTTCCACCTCTAACATTCACCAGTGCCTGGGCCACCTCCTCCAGACAACATGTTCCCCTCACCTTCAAACCACAACCACCGCTTCCAAGKAGCTTTTCTGAGTGATCCTGGGTGTCACCCAAAGCCAGCATTTTCCCTGGCTTCAAAGAAACTCCTAGGATGATGGTAACAGACAAACTTTTATYAATTAAATCTCTTTTCCCAATTAACCTTCCCATCCTCCCAGGGCAAGCATCATAGGCCTTCACTCTGTGCCCAAAACACAGTTTACATGTATGTTTTCTCTAAGCCTTGAAGAAGATTTACTGAAGGTCTAAATTTACAGGGATACAGTGATATTGCAAGTAACAGATTGCCTGAAACTAAAAATCCYGAGCAGGAGGACAGCTGTGCTTAGGAAAAAATAAAACCATAACCCTAAACTTAATAAATCATATATTGCAGACTCTTCTTCTTTGTGGCTGGCTGACAAGATTGCCTTTAGGCACAGTTTACCTGTGTTCCATACCATTTTCACAGGACTATGTTGTCTATTTAACAACACATTTGACCATCTACCCATCCATCTATTTGTAAGTCCATTCATCCATCCATTTCATAAGCCCATCCATCCATCCATCCATTTATCCATTCATCTATCCTTCCTTCTATTCACCTATTCATCCATTATAGAAGTCCACTCAGTCATCTGTCCATACATTATTTTACCTGCCCATCCATCCAACAATCCATCTACCATCCATGCATCCGTCTTTCCATCAATTAATTCAGCAAGAACCTCCTKTATGCCTGTCTCCCCCAAGTGCTASAGAAAGACAAATGAGATCCTGATCTAGCCCKCTTATCTAGGAGAAAGAAAATCATGAAACTGATGATAATAATGGCTATTACTTAAATAGTAGGCTATCGCTTATATTCCAGGTACTGTTCTAACTAAATGAGGTGGACCTATTTTATTTAATCTCCACAGTAACCTTATGAAATTTATTGTCCCTCTTTAACAGACAAGGAGAGCAAGGTTAAATAACTTGTCCAAACTGGCATGCTTGGAAAGTGCCATGGCAGGTGTTAGAATCCAGGAAAATCTTACTTAGGAGCCTGTGTTAATCACTGCTATGTTATACTGACTTCAGTGGTGACAAATGATGTGGAGACACAGAGACCATACCTGAAGGCAGGTGTGGGGAGGAAATGCAGGCAAGGTGGGCCAGAATTTGTGATACTTATATAAGAAAGAAAAAAGGAAACCAGATGGGGGAGGGGAAGGGTATTCTTAGGCAGACAGAACTGTTTTGTGGACAGGGTAGGTGGGTGGGCTAGCCAGGAAGGAATGCCAAGATGTTAGAAAGGCTAGTTCCCCAAAAGCTTAAGGAGTTTGGTCTCAGTTCTACAGATCATAGGGAAAATTCAAGAAGCCAAGTGATCAAATACTTGTTCTAGAAG